CGTTACCGTATTTGGACTGTAGTTGTCATGATTATCTGCCAGTCTGCGTTCGGAGTCGTTTGCTTAGTGAGTCCGGAAATATCCGGTCTTTTTAAACATATTTATGCCAATGTTAGTATTTTGGCGTCCGACTCTTCACCTTAGTACCGTATTTAGTTTGATTTTTTTTCTTTTTGACTTTTAATCTTGTATGGCCCAATGTTAGACTAGGTGTCGCTACTCGATAACCAATGCTGGTTTATCGCGTCCCTTCTCACCTTGAAATGCATTATTTCTCTCTCATTTCTTATCTCGTTTTAAATGTACAGTTTGTATTTCTTATATATATGGTGATAAAATAAACTACTGATTAGTGATTTTTAAATACTTTGTAAAGCAGAGTAGTGTCCACGATCACAATACTAGATCAGCTTAGGGTTGCCAACTTTGTGTTAAACCATTCCGGGACCTAGAATTTTAAAATTGATGCAACAGAAGTTTGTGAAACACAAAGACGTCAGAGGACTGCGCGTCAGTGTAGACTGCGCGTCAATAAATATGCGCGCTCTAAATAATTTCATCATAATCAAAAAAACTTGTGAAATATTGACTCTTTGAGGCATGAATGCAAAAAACCCAAACATGGAAAATGTATAATTTGTGCCAAGCTTATTTAATTACTTTAACGAAAAACAAAAAAAATCATAGGTCTTTAGATAGATAAAAATTTGCATTTTTCTTGTGATTTTGCGTTTGTTAGTTTCCGAACCATGCTCAGATAAATATCTCTTTATCAGTATTCGTCGAAAAGTGCATTGCTATTCAAAACCTGATCAGCTAACCAAACATATCATTTATCAATTTTGCAGACCAAACACTTCAGTCCAGTTTATTTCACTCTTCAAATTTGTCCATATGTGTGGCCGGGCAGCATTGTAGGCTTCATCGTGCAGCTCTATATACGATAGACATTTCTCGTAAAAATCGCAAACATTCTTTTTAAATACAAATTTTTCCCTGCAAATTTAGCTTCACCTCTTACAGAATATTTGCAACATCTACGGCAAGGGTCGGCAACCTTTTGTCGCCCGCGGGCCAAAATTAAGGGTTGCGAGTCATTGGCGGGCCGCAGATATTTTTAGAAAGTTGAAACTGAACGGATGATAGTTTTCTATTAAAAATCAAGCAGTGATACATCTCTCGAATAGAATATAGATTTATTCCTCATTGCATCTCAAAAAATTCCGTTTGAATATTTTCAGCGCCATTGAACCCTTTGCACTTAGCATCAACTTTTCTACGTTTTGTTTGCCATTCGAGCTTGAAGTAAATCATCATTAAATTCAGAGGAGAACAACGGAGCAATGCACCAACTCTCATTTATTTCTGGCTAAACGTGCAAAATCAGCGAATCCGCTTATCAAACAGCGGACATCAGAAATTCTAACTGTGTATATTTACAAGTTAATGCAAATTTGACCTCAAAAAAATTTGAAATTAATTTAGAGGTGCAGTCAAAACTTTGGTCATGAATAGCAGTGTGATAGGTAAATGTCGGCTGCCAACGACACAGAATCATCCGAATTTGTTATCGCAAAATTGGTCAGTCGAGTCGATGCTTCAATGTATTGTTTGTGCTTCCTGCTTTGGATATGATCGTTGACATCTGAACGTCCGCCATGACTAATAGAAAAACAGATCTGCAATGCGTACAGTGTACCTTTCCTCCTTCAGTTTGCTTCAAATAAGGTAAATCTTTCTTCAACTCATCAGAAAACTTGTACTTTCTTTTTGGCATTTCGACAACTTAACGACATTGCAGTTAACGCCAGAAAACGCATTAAAACATATACCAATATACGCAATTGTGACATAACAATAGAGCGATTTCTCTCTCTGGACTAGCAAAGTGTGTCGCAAAACAGCGGTAAATGGGCTGTCACCGTTAAAAAAAATTTGTAATATTAATGAATTTGAATTTTTTACCCATGAAAACCGTGCTGACAAACCGGGACATTTGAGTCAACCGGCCGGGACGCCGGGACAGCTTGTCAAATCCGGGACTGTCCCGGCTAAACCGGGACGTATGGTAAGCCTACATATTACGGTATTTTTATTCCTGCTACAACATCCTTGCATTATACGCATACGGATCAACTAGCGCAAAGGCATTGATAAAGGACTGGGAGGTAATCACACGCAACTACTGATAGGTAAATTTGGAATACCCGTGAAATAATAATCTTTGTTGCGTCACAATGATTTGTATTGTATTTTAATTTAATAATGTTATTTTGAAGCACATAGAAACAGCGATGGTGGATGCCAGTTCGTTCTCGTCACACGAAACTACACTTAGTGAATCCGAGTTTTTCGTTGTTCAAGAGTATGACAATGCTGGTGGCTGCAAGAGAGGTTTTTATCAGATATTAGATAGATATAACCGACATCACTATTCTGTTACGAGGGAGATTGATTCTGGCAAAACTCCAATCGTGATTCACCTCATAGATAACAAGAATAACGAAGTATTGAGAATGGAACCGAGGCTTAGGTAATTGAAAAATAATATTTAGTAAATAAATTAGAAAATTTCAAAGTGAATACATTTACTAGGCATGACATATGCAAAACATGTCTTTAATCATTTTCACCTAATTCAGTTTTTTACTCTTAATCCAGATTTACCGGTATTCCGGAGTACCATGTGATTTAGAAATCAAATCGATTTTTCTAGTCGATCTGAATTCTCGAATACTTATTAATTAGTCATATTATATTTGTTTATTATCACTGATCCTTATAGCAATATACATACGACATTGAACAATGGAATATTACTGCTGGACACGAAATGGGCAGACAGATCGTTTTGATATTATGGTGCTTCAAAATTGCGCACCTAGTGGTTACGCGTTCGCTACCTTCTAATCATCTATGGTCACTCGAAGTTGAGACGCCTACGATTCCGTACCACAACTATATATATATATATATACAAATCAGTGTTCCGTACCGGTACTGTAAAACATTAGATATCCGTACTACTTCATTTTGACTTTCGGGACCAAATATTTGGGCATTGCACTCTTGTATTATATCGAATTAAACTTCAAAATAAGAAACGCCGAACCTCCATTTTTTTTAATCATCAAGGTTGACAAAGTAATTTTTACCTAACTGAAAACTCACTCATTTGTAAGTTTGATATTTTCGCTGGCCTTTTTGTGATTGAAAATCCCCCTTTTTCCTATTTTTAATAAACTTTTTTGTCTTATTTAAACGAACTTTCTTATTTTTTTCCTATTTAATGAACTTTATTTCTTCTTCTCGTGAACTTACGTTTAAATTATATTTGCAATAGGCCGTGCCATGATTTTGTTGTTGCATAAAAGACCGCAGTCACAGTATGGAAGTTTCTGCTAACTGTGAGCTACTTGGAGTGATTCGTCAGGGGGTGAACTGCTTTCTGCCAAAGCTATCTGTTGAAAAGTCCGGACAAACACTCTTTATTATTAAGGAACCTGGTTGTCCGTGCTGTTGGGGATGCAAGTGCGATGAATTAGTGTTAAATGTCTTTATTTCGGATAATCCTAAACCTGTAGCATGTATTGTAAAACTATTTGACGCATGCATGTCAGAAATACCTAAGTTTAAAGTGATATTTCATGAAAAAGATATAGATTTGATTTCAAAATTTCTCATCTTTTCTGCTACATTTTTGATAAGTATTTTGTTTTTTGAAACAGTTGACTCGGGAATATAACTTTTTTTTATGTCTCAGCAGTATACGTCATGGAAGAGCAAAGGATAGCGATGTATATAAATTTGTATTGGGAGTTTCTTGAGAAGCTGGCTTAATTGAATATATTGTACACATGCATTACTCATCTAATAGTTTATTGACTGGCAAATAAAATTTTCAATTCATTTCTAACCCGAACTGGAAAATTACATTTTTTATTTTATTTTAAAACGTTGCGGGGACATTTTTCTCGAATCTCACATTTTTGCATCAGTGGCGACGGCAAAAGCAAAGAATACAGATCACAAAATCGTTAAAAAGGCAATATCAAAAAGTGTTTTTATTTTGATGTCGTTGTTTTGATTGATCCAATGAATAATGATTTCGTCAAAAAGTGGGATCGTAATTTCGAATTAATTGTTTTGGTACTTAAATGTATCGATGTTCTGTACCAATTTTATAATCAATTCATATTCAATGAGCTGTTTTAGAGGCATGGCAAATTGCGGTTATTACTTTTCTCAGTAATTAGTGTAAAATACAGAATACGCCATAAAGATCATGACCGATCGATGAAACTTGATCTTGGAAATACAACGTAATCGTTACATTATCAAATGTTTGTTTGGCAAATGCAAGTAAGTCTACTAGAACTTGATGTGTTTTAGAAACTAGGAATCTGGGAGTAATTGCTAGTTGAATAACACAACAGAAAATATAATATTATAATTCAAAATGATAATTTACGTTTTAGAATGCTGAATATTATTATATATAATTTGATTTTTTCTAAGCTGGCTGACGAAAATAATTGCATAGAATATTTCCCGTGTGTAATTTTATCAAAAATCGATATAATGCTTTGCATATATATATATAATACATCATTCGTAGGTAAATTTATATGTTTTATGTAGCAGTGAGAATTGATCTTGAAATCAAACACCATCTTTATGGCTCACCAACATTGAAAACATTACTGGTATAGGCGTGAAGTAAACATTATGAGCATCTTATATTTTGCCGTTCTCGATATGCTTAGATGAATGTCATCTATTGTTCAACAAAAATAGATAAGTTAAGAATAGATTTCAATATTATGTTTTTGTAATGAGCTTCTGACTATCATATATAAAATGCTAATTCAGCGATAATTGTGGACAAACACATACAACACCTAAAGCTTATCTAAGAATAGATTTCACTCAGCATGTGTTTCAGTAATCTTGTGAATAAGTTGGTACAAAAGCTCTTGCGGAGAGAGGTATAAACTTCATAGTAAATGTAACATGCGCCTTGCGTGTCAATTTCAGAATGTTTGAGAATCCGTAAAGTAAAATAGCGAGAATCCAATTTCAAAACGTTTGTCGTCATTTTGTGTTTAGCTGCTTACTGCAATATAAATAAAACAAAAAAAAAACATTTAAGCATGGAAAGTAACGTTGACCTTAACTCAATGCAGCTGATTTTAACGGAACATATGAAGAAGACATGGATGGGGGCTAAAGGCTTAGAAGATTACAAAGGATATCAATTCATGCCCGGATTTGGTCTTGAAGCCACTAAGTATGCTTACGATGAATGGAAGATTCCTGAAAATTCAGTTTTTATCTCAAGCTTTCCAAAAACAGGTAAAAATTTATTTTGTTCATTTATTCATTTTTTAAAAAAATAAAATAAAATAAACGGGTTTCGGTTTTACGCACGAAAGAAAGTCCGGTTTGTAATGTATATAACAGAGTGGCAAAAGTATACAGAAATTTAAATTAAATTTTACAATATTATCCTAAATTATCTATTTTTTTACTGAATGCATGGATTTATTACTTTGCGCTCAATTTTTAAAGTTGTTTTTAAAGCAATACTTTATCAATTTCGTTCAAATTATTTAGGTACGGCATGGTGTTTGGAAACTGTGAAACAAATATTGTACGGCAGAGATAAACATCTTCTAGATATGTATCGTGCTGTTCCTATGCCAATGTTTCTGGTGGAAATGAGTGTTCGTAAGTAAATTTAATTCCATAAATTGAATGTAAGTATCTAAACCACGAATAGCGAGTCAGATCGAGTCATTCTTGCGTCAGAGTCTTTAGTCAAGTCCGAATAACTGCGAATTTCTAAAGCTTTCCATCACTATAATTGTAGTAATTTTAAATAGAAGTCAATTTCAATGAAACCACTCATATTTTGAAGAAAAAGGGCTAGCCACCATATATCATTTTTAGATGGGGAGTGTTCTTTAACTACTGGACCAATTGCTTTGAAATATTCAGTAGTCTGAGATTGTTGTTGTCGCTAGAGGCTATTATTATCACTTATTAAAAAAAATTCTGCGGGCTCAATGGGGCAATGTTTTTTTGGGCGTGATGTTGTCTTGCGCACCTTGTGGCGATTCCGCGTTCGTGACCTGGTGGTTAGTCGAAGTCGGCAAGACTGCGGTACCGGTTCTGTAAAAGATCAGATACCGGTACTTATTCATTTTGACTTTTGTGTCCATATAAATCAACTGTTTTACTAAATGCGGAAAGCAATATCTGCACGTGTGTATACAGTACATACTGTTGCTAAAAAATAAACTTCCAAAAAATTCTTTGAATTATCAACTTTTAGCGGGAAAATTTGATGTATTTGACAAACTACCTCATTCAACGCAAGTGTTTGCAACTCATTTACCAGTGGAACTTTTCAACTATAAGAAAATGAAGAGATCAAACAGCAAGGTGTGTTGACAGTATGGATATATTTAATTTTTATCGAAGTTTGAGAAATTGAAATGATATATATAACGTAAATATGTATCAATAACGGTAACGTTGTCAGTACCGTTCAAATGTCCCTACTTTTATTATATACCGTAAATGTACTGTGTCAACTTAGCTTTACTTAATTTGCTGTATCTGGTTTTCTTTATCACTGCACATCAAAACCACTTCACATTATACGCACGTGGGCGGCCACAACCCTATAATTCCCCAAACCTATTTTCGCCAGAAGCGCTTTCTGATACGAGTATCCAGTTGAGGAGGGGATTCACCTGCCCATCGTTGTTCTGATGATTTTTAATTAAAGAATGTTTGTTAAATAATTCAACAGTACCATAGGGTATTCACGATACGTAAATAAATTCTTTTCGATCAGATATTCGTACCTTGTGTCGCTGTTCGATAACCAGCTTCGGTTCCCAGTGGCTTCCCTTACAATAATTACTCTCTCGAGTTTTCAAGAAGTTCAGTACAAGTTCTGGTGAATTTAGAATTAATTGTTGGTTGTGGCAATATGACGGGTCATATAGGCAAAATATGTAGTGGAATCCAGACTGAAAAATTATTTTAATGTTTTATTATGGCTATGCTATACTTGCTACTTTCGCAGATGATATACGTCATACGTAATCCCAAAGACCAAGCCGTTTCCTGGTTGCATTTTTCCAGGAAATTACTGCCTGAGGAAACGAAGAAGCAAATGGGAGAAGAGTGGAATGAGTTTTTCCATAACTACGTACTTGGTATGAATGAATGTAGAATTTGGTTATGTCCTTCAAATGAATGAAATCACCTGTGTGAATTGTAAAACAATGTAGAAAATACTATCACTGTCAACGCAGATTTTTCGGTGTGATGCACCGGAAATAGGGTCAACGAACGTACATTTCACGTTCATGTTCACGAATAACACTTGCTTTTTACGTACTGTCGCCTGCGGGTTTCCATTTTCTCTGCATGTTCTCAAAAGTTTCGCGACCCGAGGTATTAAATGAAATACCGTTTGGATAACTGAGCTCACACCACTTCTAAAATAACCTATGCCCTAATCATATTATGTGTGGCTGTTAGGTCTGGGAATTCCGAATCGTATATTCGGATCGAATCGTAAATTTTCGTCAACTTTTTTTTGTCTGCCAAAAGTTGAGATGAATCCTTCAATTTGTTGTGAAGCCATCTCCCGTCGTAACGTTTTTAAAATGGATTTCTTACGAAAGTCTCTTTATTTTCGAGTGAGTTATTGATGAAACATGTTTCTTATTGTATCTCACAACTCAGCGAACTGACTGAATGATATATACACTTCACGTTTTCAGTAATTAAATAACGTCCATGTGTTAATTTAAATATCTCCCATCATTCGAGATTCAATTCGATTTTAATATAATCAAGTACTAAAAAATATCTAGCGCTACTTCGGCTATGTACATGAATAGCATTGCTGTACGAAGGCACTGATATCACAATCTTAATCGATGCTTTTACACCATATAGTGCAATGGGACGAAATAAAATATTGATACATTCAAGATATTCTTTTCAGGAAAACATCCACAATGCAATAAAGAAGGTCAATGGTATCCAGACCACATTAAGGAATGGATGAAATATAAAAATGATGAAAACTTTCTTGTGGTTGTTTACGAAGATATGAAGATGGTGAATATTTGTGAAAAAAAATATTTGAATGTCTACCCGTTATCAAATATTCGCTGGTTGAGACGCTGTAAATTCAATCCAAAGTGTACTCACAGTAACAAGAGAGCAATGTTCCAATTTGTGGTCACGGATGTCCCGTATTAGTACGTTATGATATAGCCTCACCCCGATTTTGCTTAAACAAATACAATGAACGGAAGCAGACAAATATACTAAAGTAGACGGAATAAAATATTGCCATAAAACATACCGGGTGAATATATGGTCCTATGAGGTTCGAATTAAATTTAAATTAAATTGGAACAAACTATAGTAATACCCTTATATCAGCTTCAGCCTTTTTGAGGGCTCAAATTTCTCAATGCTTTGGGCCAAAAAAAACGCCACCATTTCAACTACAATAATTAATTTAACAACAACAATAAAAATTTGTCAAAACGTTTATCTACACGCGATTTCTGATAACATAAAAACGTGCCGGTAAATCATATATAATTAAAACTATCATTGAGTTTGAACAAGCCTGAGTGGGTTAAAATTGAGCCAAATGTTGTTTTCAATCATACTATAGAAATTGTCCGTGCGACTCGGGGGCCAAAAGTGGCCCGCGAATAAAGTTTTTCGGCCCTCGAACGATCTCACTTTTAATGCATAAAAACAATAAGTTGGTTAGTTACTCTTGTATTATTGATGAGTTATTTATGGTATGTTGTGTGTGAGAGTTGTGATCTTCCACCAGTGAAAATATATTTCACAATATTATGTGATGATAATTTAATGTGTTTATGTGTTTTTAGTTGAATTAATATCTGAAACTAATTCCAGAATTTTCAAAATGAGATTCGTCGAATCGCGAATTTCTTAGCTGTAGATCTCAGCGACAATAACGTCGCTAATGTTGCTGAAGTATGTTCTATCAAATCGATGAAAGAACAAGCAGATGTTGAAAAATCTGGATTTTTGAAGATGAACGTACGAAAAGGTATGATTATGTCGGTGCGATAATGTAGGAAAAGTTTTTTGATCCAATGCTCATGACGTTCTGGCAATAATACCTACTTATAGTTGATTGATTCCTGAATATTTTGGTCGAACAAATCAAACCAACAAGTCGTATTGACTGATGCATTCAAATTCTGACTCTTGCAAGAGACAAATATGAGACTATTCGAATACAAACAAATTTTAATTTTTCCATCTCTTTGTAGTAAGTATACGAAGGAAAGAATTATTCTTGAACACTGGCAAGCTGCTACATTTATGGGGTCATAGGCTGGTAGTTGGACGCAAACCTGATTTATTAGTTTGTCACCATAGACCGACATCTTATATCTTTTTTTAGGAGAGATCGGTGGGTGGAAAAATCAGTTCACGGTGGCGCAATCTGAACTAATGGATAAGCTGATAAAAGAACAACTAGGCGACACTGGCATCGAATTCACATATGAAATGTAATCGTTTGGGAATACAGTGATGACGACTAGAGCAAATGGACTAAGAACATATTTATTGTTGTTTTATTAACTTTCAAGACATCGGAGTGTTTTTACTAAGTCTCGTTTTTTACATTCCAAAAATAAATTATTCGGTGAGCAAGCATATTCAAAAAGACTCAAGTTTTAATGGAAAGGGGGATAGGAACGTCATAAAAGTCAACACAGAAAAAATATCTTACGATTTACTGACCACAGAATAAAAATTTGTGAATCCAGTCACCTGTGTTACTTAGGATTAATGAAAAAATCTGGAAGTCAAAGAAAGTAATTTTGGTTAATAGCACAAATTCCATCTACAAGAAACGAAAATCGATCGATCTCTTTGCGATCTAGATACCGTCAATTGCTATGTCATAATCACAGTTTAAGCACGTGTTTATCGTAACAATCCAATTATATCGGTATTTAGAAAGGCAGAAATTTAGTTAAAAGTCATATAAGAAAGCTTAGAGAAGTTGTAAGAAATGTTTCCTCATTTTAATTATGGGCACTAGGCTGTGTTCCAGAAAAGTGTTTCGTAATATCTATTTTCGCAATCATGCCAGTTCCGCGATAATCATTCAATCTTATAAGCGTAGTACATTCGTATTCAGCTAAATGGAGTGATTATTATCCAAAATTTGATTCTGATTTGATTTGATTCTAATGATTTGATTTGATTCTAATGATTCTGATTGTTATTCATTTACATATGCTTTCCTTGATTATGGCTCGTCACGTTCATTTTGCACCACTGATCTTGCTAAGAGATTAGGCCTTCAAGGTGAAACTGAGGAGTGTACTATTCACACTGCCAGTGGTTCAAAGCCCCACTCAGGAAAGAGAGTATCTCTCACTATTACTGGTATTAATGAGCCTAACGAAATATGTGTAAATAATATTTTAACTTTTGATGGTATTCCTGATTTACGTGACTCTATCCCACATCAGGAAGTAGTGGAACAGTATCCACACTTACATGGTTTATCCTTCCCTGAAGTAAATGGCACTATTGAGGTGCTGATAGGTTCTGATGTATTGGGACAATTTCCCATCTCAGACACATGTGTTGGTGAACAAGGCTCACCAACTGCTTACCATACAATTTTAGGTTGGGCTCTAGCAGGTCCTGATAAAAATGCTCAAATTTCAAATTGTGTCGATGTCAATTTTTTGAAAGCAGGTTATAGTTCTGCAAATTCTATTGAAGAAAGTACTAATTTATCTATGTGTCATGTTTGTGGTCATGATTTTGTTGATTTATATGCTGATCCATGTACTACAGAGTTTTCTGTCGATGACAAGAAAGCATTGAGCATTATGGCAGATACAATGAAAATGATAAACGGTAGGTATCAAATTGCCTTACCCTGGGTATCTGATAATGTAACCCTCCCTAATAATCGTTTTTTAGCAGAAAAAAGGCTAATGTATCTCAAGCGAAAATTCCAGAAAGACCCAGATCTTTTCCAAAAATACAAAGATAAAATACATGAATACATCCAGAATGGTTATGCAGAATACATACCCATACATGAATTGCCACACAGTAACAGAACATCATATTTACCACATCACTATACTGGCCAAAAAGTTCGGGTAGTATTTGATTGTTCAGCCGAGTTTCAAGGCACTCGTTTGAATAACAACTTGTTATCAGGTCCTTTCAATACTAATACGTTGGTTGGTGTTCTTTTGTGTTTCCGACAGGAACCCGTTGCGGTAATTTGTGACATCCGTCAAATGTTTCATAGAATTCGGCTAAATCCACCTGATTGTGATTCCATGCGATTTCTTTGGTGGCCCAATGATGATTTATCTCGAGACCCTGTTGAGCTAAAAATGTTGAGTCATATATTTGGTTGTAAGAGTTCTCCATCTGTTGCTGCATTTGCGCTACGGAAGGTAGCTGATGATAATTTATCCAATGCTGACTCTGTCACTATTGAAACTGTTAATCGTAATTTTTTCGTGGATGATTGTTTGAAAAGTTTGCCTACTGCTGACCAAATCGTCAGTTTGATATCTCAACTACGTAAGCTATTAGATACATGTGGTTTTCATCATGCCAAGTTCATAAGCAATGACCAAGCTGTGTTAGATTCGATACCTGATGAAGATAAAGCCCCATCTATGGTAGATTTTGACATCAAGGTGATTCCTCAAATAAGACACTCGTTGTGCATTGGCGCATCGATGCTGACAAATTTGTAATTCGTATAAATGTTGAGCCTCTTCCTCTAACACGGAGAGGTATTTTGTCAATGGTAAGTCAAGTATTTGACCCATTAGGATTTGTCCAACCATTTATTTTGCCCGCAAAACTTATTCTTCGCGAGTTGTGCGATGAAGGTTATTCCTGGGATGATACCATTTCTGGCCCACCTAGAGAAAGTTGGGAAAATTGGATCGCTTCATTATCCAACTTAAATAATTTGTCTATTCCTCGTTGTTCAAGCCAGCTGACTTCACACCCACTGAGGTACAGTTGCATTTGTTCTGTGACGCTAGCAGAGTTGGTTATGGTTGTTCGAGTTATTTGCGTATGATTGATTGATGCAGCAAATGACTTCATGTCGTTTTTGTTAGAGGCCATATAGTGACACGCACATACACACACATTGTACATAACATGCACCTATTCACAACATACATACCACAACAGGAATTATGCTTGTACCACATTCCTACCCTTTCCTCAGAGATTCTCGTTTACCATTTTTATGTATCTCTGATGGTGCTCATTCTTTCAGATTAATTATTTCTGATTAATTTTTGTGTGTTTCACACATTGTGTTGTTTGAACATTTCTTTTATTGCTTTAAAAAATTACATAAAATGCTTTTCATTTTCTCTAATTTGGGCCCGGTATGTAAGAAATGTTTCCTCATTTTAATTATGGGCACTAGGCTGTGTTCCAGAAAAGTGTTTCGTAATATCTATTTTCGCAATCATGCCAGTTCCGCGATAATCATTCAATCTTATAAGCGTAGTACATTCGTATTCAGCTAAATGGAGTGATTATTATCCAAAATTTGATACTAATGATTAATTCCATGTAATATTCCCATGTTTAATACATGAGGAGTCCCAAATAGATATCTTATTGAGCCAACTTGGCTTTATATTCTGACCAATAATCTGGCATCTGTAAATTCTCCCGCACGCCGCTCTCTTCTTTCTGAGTTTTTAGTGAGCGCACCTCTGTTTCTTAATAAGCTCCGGAATTTGTCAATTTGTAAGCCGTATTTTTCATGTTTGTTTTATTTATTTAGCTAATATTTGGAGTGATGATCATAAATTAGATTAAATTGTGTGTAATTACTGAAATAAACTGACTCATCGATGTTCATTACTACTGCGATAATGCAATAAAGTCAAAGCAACAAATGTTGGATGAACTATTTGGGATCGGGCTCTTCAAGTATTTCTGGTGTTACTCGCACATTGGATCACACGATATCACTCCACATCATAGTTAGGTGATAGCACCGTTTATTACCTACAGAAGTGAAACAGCAAACGACGCTGAAAACAGACGTTTCTTGGGTTAAATGCGAGTATTTCGTATTTATGCATTGAAAAGAATCAAACTCCAGCGATTTGTCTTCTTTGCCAACGAACTATTCCAATTTTGAGGGAATTAGTCATTAAGCGCCATTAAGTGTCAACAATCATGTTTCAAAAAAAAATGTCAAATGAAAGCGAATCCACAGAACCCCTGCGAAACCGTTGCGAACTTTCGGGCGCTGCACTCTTCGGGCACGCAAACTTCCTTCCGATTCTAACTTTGGCCCGCGGCCAATATAGTTTGGGAACTCCTGGTCTGGAACTTAATTCAAAATATAAAAAGGCGTACTTACAACTCTTCCTTATTCTACCGTTAGTCCTACCAGGTCAAACATGGATTTATGTAATTTGCACAAAAATGACATGACAGAAACCTGTTCTCAATGACAAGTCGGGGCCGACAAAACTGCATTCTTCCTCAATTGCGTTCGCGCAAACCAACATTCTTGCAACCATTAATGATGTAGCAAAATAATAGTTGACTGCTTCTATTACACGTCATGGTTACCTAAGCGTAATTTATATGTTTAAATCGTTACTATCAGTTATCTTTTAAAATATAATTAGTGCCGATTTCTGGCTGAGCCTATAGGTTCGGAATAAAAATCATAAATTTTGTAATAAGTATGAAATTTAATTGAAACGTCACCATGAATTGAAACATCGATGAATTAAAGCGTTAGTTTTAAAAATCAAGCCACCCTGGTGTAACATATTTCAAAATTGAAGATGATTGAGTGTAGAAATACTATTGATATATCCAGCGATGAATGGATGTCCCAACACATTGAGAAAGAAAAATTCAATCACATCGATGACGACAGAGATGAAAAGCCGTTTATGACATCATAATGAAGTACTAAAGACCAGTAAAAAGACTAAATTGTAACCTTAATTAAATATATTGTTTGCGGCGGTGTGTGAATGTATATGCAATCAACTACCGGTATTTGAAACCAAATGTTGTGTAAGGATCACACGGCGTACAGTTTGCATAATAGTTTAATGCATAAACGTAACAACGGAAATTATAGAACTCTAAACTCCAACGGTAAATCTCAGATCCATGGAAATGTAACGATAATAAAATAGATCGACATACGTTTTTCTTTATTATGGCCGTCTATATAAGATTTCAGCTCTTGCTCAGAAGTCAGAAAGTATACCATTAATAAGAATTTAAAAATATTAAAATTCAGAGCCAAGGTGAAACGAACAACTAAGATTTTGAATACATATAAACCATATTTGTTTATACAAGTCTTTAACTTGGCCTGCGCTTGGTCACGAGCAATGTAAAGTATAGGTGTTCAGCATGAACGCAACCAGTGAAAAGTTAAAATTGGAAATGACACTGAGTAAGATTGACATAGTTTATTGCAAAAAGCTACTATGCAAAATGCTAATATTAAATTTACAAAAACCTCATTTCACAATGCTACAGATAAAACAGTATTTTACAAGTTGCAAAGTTTTAAAACTTCCCAAAATCGGTATGTGAAGTAAAAATTAATTCCCCACAAAACAGATGATGACACAACCTATACATGGTAACCATTAAAAATAA